AGAAAGTCTCTGCATGAATGGTCGTGCACTCAACGAGAAGGCCATTGAGGTCTCCCCATCCTCTAGCCGCGTTCTCGATCGTGCCGCAGAGATCCTCACCCCGTTCCCTCCCTCGAAGAACCGCCCTCGTCCCGGTGACTGGACCTGCCCCTCCTGTGGATTCTCGAACTTCCAGCGCCGTACCGCTTGTTTCCGTTGCTCGTTCCCCGCCATGGCCGCTGCCCCGGATCCGATGGGGTATGGGGCTTTCGGCTACGGCCCACCCTCCATGATGCCACCTCACATGGGTCACGGTCACGGTATGGGCCATTCTCGTGGCATGGGCGGCAACGGCGGTGTGGTTCCCTTCCGTGCGGGTGACTGGAAGTGCGGCTCGGAGGGTTGTGGCTACCATAACTTCGCTAAGAACATCAACTGTCTGCGTTGTGGTGCACCCCGCTCGGGAGCCGCGGTGGTTGCGGACTCCGCTTTCCCATCACCCATGGACCCTCCCTCGGGCTTTGGAATGGGCCCTAACTCCATGGCGAGCACCCCGGCGCCTGGCCCCTTTACCTCCACCGCCGGTGGCTTTGGCGGATTCAGCCAGCAGTTTGGAGCGCCTCCGAACAACTACGCTCTACCCTCGGCGCTGGGTAGTGGCCCCGGAGGATATCCCCCTATGGGTCAGATGAACGCCGGCTACGGCTCCAGCAACACCTCTCACTCCGCCACTTCGTTCGCTAACCCTGCTACGCAGGCCGCTTTCACCGGAGCTGACCATGCAACCTCCACCAGCGCTTCGAACGGCGCTTTCTACGGAGCGGATGGATCTAACGATCCGTTTGCCTTCCTGTCTACCGGCTTGGGCGGCCTGTCTGTCGGTGACGACGGCCACTCCCGCCGCAACGGTACCGGTGCTAGCAAATCTCCTGCTTAAAGCCGCCGCAGTGAATCACTAAGGCGGGGTGGTTGTACTTTTTCCATTTTTCTGTGACGGACCCCCCCATTTTTTGTTTGTGAATACGGTCATCTAGATTGTCGGTATATGCGACGGTTGATTCTCGTTGATGCGCGTTTGTATAGGGAATTCAGCAGTTCTGGTGCATTCGGTTGGGAGGAGCAGGCCGGTAGCGTGTCGTCGTTTCATCGGATTGGATCCTTTATCTTTTGTTATTTTGTCTCTCGCGGCCTTTACGTTGACCCTTTTCGGTATGTTTTACTATTGCGTCTTTGAAGCGATGTTTAAGGGTATAGAAGGCCATCCTGGCAGATGGGCTCGGTTGGTTTCGTACATCCATTCGCGAGTCACTGGGGCTTCTCGTTCTTATTTTCCTTCGATCGGCATGAGCTTCGCACTTTTCTTCGCTTTCATCGTTGTGCATCTGATGAAAGGCATCGCTTGTTTCGATCGCAGTGCGACCAGACGTGGGGGCTCTATCATGGCATTGCATTCTAGATATTTGGTCATCTTATTTTTTGCTTGTCTTGTTTTTTTTATTTTTCCCAGTTCATCTCTGCGCTCTTTGGCAACAGGAATCATTGGAGAATCACGGTATTGATCACGGATGGGATACACTGGAACGGACTCTGTTGGGGGTGTTGGGGATATTCCTTTTGAGCCATGAAAATTTCAGCCGACGGCGGATTTCAGATATGCGAGGCAACGGGTCGGGAATCGTGAGTGCAACAGGGTTGTTCTGAATGTCCATAATTCATTTTTGTGTGTTTTTGATCGTTTCTTACTTTCCTTTACCACCTGTCTTCTATTGGTATCCATGTTCTTTTTTCTTTTTGTCTCTGCAAGAAAAGTCGATGAGTCATCATTCTGGATCTACGCAGTACAGACTTAGAGACAGTATATTGTCTTCCATTTTGTATAGGAATCGATGGGGCATTGTGAGCGAGAGCGAGGCGTTGGGGTAGACCAGGACGCATTGGTTATTATCTGCTGTCTACCTTCTTTTCTACTATAATGTCACATCATGTATGATCCAGCGTTGGTCTCGAGTGATCGTATAAAAGCCTTTAGGCAATATTCAGTCAATTGACCTCATTATTCGCTTTATTGCTATCGCTTTGATTTTGTGGAAATATAAATTTGTCCCTTGAATATATATTTCTTCTCATAGTGCATAACATGATGAAGTTAGGGGAGGATTCGCTAAGTGAAGAGATTGAAACTTGCGAAGAATATTCTCTGTGGGGAAGACAACAATATCGTCAGATCTACGAAACTGGTACAAGCTATATCCCAATTATGCCAATCAAGTATAGAGATCTAGGAGTGGGTGATGGAACTTGGAAGTGGGTAAACGCGCGCCTATGGCGCTAGAGGGGGAGCTCTAGAGGTCTGGAGGCAACCGCGGGACTCGCGTCCACCTCCATCTGTCATCGCTCAAGACGGCTCCCCATCCCAGCATTCTACGATCCGAATCCCACGAATTGCCCTTTCCAATAGCTTTCTCGTCCTCATACTATCTAGTTTTATTTCTCCGCTTTTATTTCGGTTTTCACTGTTTTCCTGTCGCCCATAATGTCCGGATATGACCGAGCTCTTTCAGGTAAGATAGCTTAGTACCTTAGTTCCATGTGCTTCTCTGTGGGATGATCAACTGATTCTAACCAACCTGCAGTATTCAGGTATGGGAACCGTCTTCTGCAGCATTCTGTACAGCTCTTTGACCCCTTTTCAGCCCTGATGGGCACGTCTTCCAGGTGGAGTATGCCATGGAAGCTGTGAAGAGAGGTACGTCACCGCCAACCAGGTCGGCCACGCCCTCCTGCCTGACCACTATCGTTCTTCTCATCTAGGAACATGCGCCGTCGGAGTAAAAGGTAAAGATGTTGTCGTGCTGGGCTGCGAGAAGCGCTCCGCCTTGAAGCTCCAAGATACCCGCATCACACCGTCGAAGATCGCCGTGCTTGACAACCATGCCGTTCTCGCTTTCGCTGGATTGAACGCCGATGCCCGTATCCTCATCGATAAGGCTAGACTAGAGGCCCAGTCACACCGCTTGACCGTTGAAGACCCCGTCACCATCGAATACATCACCAAATACATCGCCGGTGTGCAGCAGCGGTACACGCAAAGCGGAGGTGTTCGACCCTTCGGTATTAGTACCCTGGTTGTGGGATTCGATCCGAACGACACGGTGCCGAGATTATATCAGACTGAGCCATCGGGTATCTATTCTGCTTGGTAGGTGGCTCTGGTGGTCGGTTTTAGAACCCAAGAAGAAAGGCTAATGGGGGTGTGTGTGGGGTGATATAGGAAAGCCAACGCTATCGGCCGTTCTAGCAAGACCGTTCGGGAATTCCTCGAGCGCAACCACCAGGATGATATGGACCGTGAGCAGACGATTCAGCTTACCATCAAGTCGTTGTTGGAGGTCGTGCAGACCGGCGCCAAGAACATCGAGGTGGCTATCATGTCGCCCGGGCAGACGATCGAGATGCTGCCAGAAGATCAGATCGAGGCCTACGTTAAGAGTATAGAAACCGAGAAGCAAGAGGAGGCTGCGAAGAAGAAGACGGCCCGGACCAGCACCACGACGGCGGCTATCCTAACAAGAGGTGGCGGAGAGTCCAGCGACGCCTAGGAGTAGGCTGGTTTAGTGAATTAGAGCTACATGCCTCTGGTTGACGTCCTACACACGTTTTTCCTTTATAATATCGGAGATCTTGCCGAAGCGACTTTACGACAATAAAGAACTCTTTCCCCGTCGTTTATACACAGAGACCCCCGAGGGGTCTCTCTAGGAATATCGTCGTCTAAAGAATTGTAGCCTGACTGCCGGCAGGAGATAGAAAGCATTATATCGTAATCGTCGTAATCCACAGTCGGTCGCCTCCACTTATCCCAGACGATCTTCGGCATCCCTGACGTTGAAGATCGACCGCTCCTGGTGACCGCGCACTCGGTCATCCTTGAGCATTCTTTCCCGCACATCAGTATCCAATCCTGACAAATCGAAAAAGGGAGAAGTAAGTACCTGCTGTCAACACGAGCATCCTCACCCTCTACCTGCAATGCGGGCTTGGGTGTGACGGCCTCCAGCACGAAGTGGTTATCGCAATGCGGGCAATATTCGTCGCTATCAAAAGTTTCCCCTTAGTCATGTGTTCAACGCGTCGCGAAGGATTGACCTACCTCTCTTCGAATTCTGTCGAGTCCTTCCGGAAACACTTCTTGCACTTTTTACAGGCGAAAATCTGTACCAATCTCCTTTAGAATTTCTATGGGCTTGAGAGGGGAGGTAAATGGGAGGAGTACCATTTCGGTGGTCTTCATGAGGGCATGGGATTCTTGTTCATGGTGGCATTCGGCGCAGTCGAACCACTTCCGGCCTGGATTTCGTATGAGTAGGACGATGGCTGTGGTGAATTTGTAATAGACTCACAGCATGCCGAACGAATGGCCACTTGGGCGTTGAGGATGTGTTTACTGCGCGGGAGGGTGTCAGTTGACCGGTTGATGGATTTGCTTAAATTTTTTTTTTTTCTCTCTCTCTCTCTCTTTCTTTCCTTCCCCCCACAGTGGCTTGACAAGGAAGACGGGATCATCAACGTACCACATGATGAAGAGGGATTTGAGTCAGGGGATGAGGGTCTACGTGGGTGGTGGAGGCTCAGGTGGTTTTAAGTGAGGAAAATCGAAGGAAGAGGGTAGGTATATCACGATCCTTAATGGGGAAGCAATCGCGATTATTGGGGAGGGATTAATTTAAAATTATTGGCAGGGCGGAAGCTAAAAATAAAGGCGAGAAGGACGGTCTTTTACCATGGATTCGGGCAGTGGGAACTCTAACAAGAATGACATCGTTATACTCGTTAGGGAGGCAGGTGGTGCTTTGGATAGTAATTTTATTTTATTTTTGGGACCGACAGATTGAATTCGGTATTACGATTGTTGTCAGAGTATTTATTGAATATTTTCGTAGTGGTTGTTTCTTGTTTTATCTTATTTTCGTCTATTTTCGACTATTTTCTCTTTACGCAAAAGACTGGTCTGCTGTACTCGTCATTTTGCCTTCTCCTTTAAGTTCACATTGTCCCCTTTCTATCGCGAGATCGTCGTTACTCCTCAACCGCTCTTTCAACTCTCGCTTTCTCCTTCGCTTTCAAACTCTCCCTACTCTCTCTCTCTCTCTCTCTCTCTCTCTTTATTCCCCCCCTGCAGCCCTCCTTCATTCCCTCCCGCCCGGAAGATCCATTCCGCTCAACGTTTCCCCTCCCTCTCCGCTCCGTCTGTATTTATAGCAGCCGATTCGTTTCCGCCTGACGAACTGCCCGCAACTCCGCCACAGTCTCGACCCCTCGGGTCTGTTAACCGCAACGCTGTTAACCTCGGGGTGAACCACCATACATACCATTGACCCTATTGTCCCTAAGATCTTACCTCTATCGTATCCACCGTTCCATTGAAGCCTATGATCTATCTTTCCAACCCGTCATCGTGTCGGATCTATAGTCGTGGCCATGGAGGGAAACGGTAGATCGAGGGACGGCACCGATAGTGCTCCCATTGTACGTCTGGCGCATTGTCCCTAATGCTGATGAGGGACCCCCTGCTCACACAATCAACCTCTACAGAGACCAGTGTCTTCCCTTCTGTCTCATTTCGAGAACCTATCCCATCGCCGAACTCCGTCCGCCTCTCCAAGCGGCCCCCGCGACCCGACCCCGTACCTGAAATCCCCTGAACCCGTGGACGATTTTCGCTCGGCCCGCGCCTCTCTGGACTTGTCTCGTCCGCGGTCTCCTTGGGTCCCCTCCACAGACTTTCAGAATGGTCAGGGGACCGAGTATCGAAATGGCGCTCCGCGTCCACGTGGGGTGTCCCCGGGACGATCGCCAGGCAGACGGCAAAGCAGACCTATGTCGATGAACCTACATTCCTCGCCGCAACTGGCGCCTACCCTCACAGTAGACTCACCGCGATCCCCTCCACGAGGCTTTGGGACGCATCCGGCCCATAATGAGGATATCCGGGCGTCTCGCAGCCCACCGAATGCTCCGCCGGAGTCATTACCGCCCAGGCCGATTGCGCAGGCAAACTCCCTTACTCGACCGGCCACTCCTACCTATCCATCGTCGGTGCCGACCGAACACAGAATTGCTCACCTGTCTCCAGGCCATCCAGATTCTGCTGCATCGACGCGCGACAGTCCGTCGGAGCGACGGTTGAAGAGTGCTTCGTTACCCCCACCCGCTAACCGAGCGGAGAAGCCTAAAATTCCAGCCAAACCCGCTGGTTTGTCCTTTCATGATGGGAATGGCCTGGCTCCTCGTCAGGAACGTCCCCATGTAGAGGATGGGGTATCTCCCTTCAACACACCCCCGGGCAGTCCCGACAAGTCACCGCCGAAAGTACCATCTGCCACAAAGCCGCAGCCGCAGCCTTCCCCATCTGCACCCGTACCCCCGCCAGCTCGGAGATCATTCGACGAAAGGAGACCTCACCCGAGTGCGCTTGGCTTGTCGGAGCGGCCGCAACCTCCTCGGCGGCCATCTCCGAGACCGACACGAGACACGAAGCCCCTGATGGTGCAAATTCCGCCGCGGCAAAGCTCTCAGCAGGAAACCATGTCTGCTATTCCACATACCGCGCACCGTCTCCAGGGGTTTGAAAGTCCAAGGGAGCCCCCTGGCCTTCCCCCACGGCAGCCGTCAATAGCACGTCGAGGTGCTCGGTCGCCAGGACCACAGCTTGATCGCTTAAGGAGTCCGGTCCAGCCTGAGTGGCCCCCTCGACCGGAATTGCGCCCACACCATACCGGTGAGGTTCATACACCGAGACAGCTTCAACGACAGCCGTCGTTTTCGCGAGAAACCAAGCCCGGACCTCCCCCTGCCATTCCGGAGCGCTCTGTTGTCGATCGGCCGGTTGTGGAGAGGCAACCTGTGCGCCCAGTTCCCGCCCCGAGCGAGGATGAGCAACCTCTCGATGAGGCCCCCGCCCCACGGACGGACTACCCAGATGCGTCTTTGGCCAACCGGCGACCGCCGCTTCTGAAGAAAGGCCCTCAGGAGATCCCGACGCGCTATGACACGCGACTCATGGATGTGTGTGGAAAGTATGTATGCACCACTGGCTATCTGACCCGCGTTTGGGATCTCACGACGGGCGAACAAATCATGACCCTCAGTCATGGCGAAACCGTCAAGTGTCTGTCGCTAGCTTTCAAACCGGGGAAGGGTCTGGAGGACGAGGGACAGCGACTGTGGCTTGGTACCAGCGCTGGTGATCTTCACGAGGTTGATATTGCCACTCAGTCGGTTGTGGCATCACGATCCTATCCATCCCGCAGGGAAGTGATCAAGATCCATCGGCATAAGAAAGAGATGTGGACTCTTGATGACGAGGGGCGCTTGCTCGTTTGGCCACCTGACGAGTCCGGGACTCCTAATCTCCAGTATAGCTACCATAATCCTTATGACCGGGTTGCGCGTGGACATACATTCTCGGTCGTCGTAGGCGATACGCTGTGGCTGGCAACGGGTAGAGAGGTACAGATCTATCGACCCAATGCGCGCGACGACGTATCCTTCAAAGTACTCAAGCGGCCGCTGGGCTCACAGCATTCGGGAGAGGTGACATCTGGTGCTTATACGACCAAAGACGGCGGCCGTGTGTACCTGGGACACGCTGATGGAAAGGTGACTATATACTCCGCTCATGATTATACGTGTCTCGGGATTGTAAACGTCAGTGTCTACAAGATCAACTGCTTAGGTATTGTTGGGGATTATCTTTGGGCTGGGTACAAGACGGGCATGATCTACGTATACGATACGTCAACCAATCCGTGGATGGTGCGGAAGGATTGGCGGGCTCATGACAGCCCGGTGTCTGCATTCCTCCTCGACACCAGCAGCGTGTGGACGATGAACCGGCTTCAAGTGACGTCGTTAGGAACAGATAACTGCATTCGTCTGTGGGACGGCATGCTGGAGGATGATTGGATGGGTAAGTTGCCTGGATCGTCACTGCATGCAACGCAACTAACGAGCGGACAGAATCTCGGATGCAAGCCAAGGACGTGGAGTACTGTACCTTCCGGGAAATCCGCGCGTCAATTTTGACGTGGAATGCCGGTGCCTCCACTCCGGGCAGCGCGCGCACATCGACCTTTATCCAAGACGCTATTCATCCCGAGGACCCCCCGGAGATTCTAGTCTTTGGATTCCAAGAACTGGTGGATCTCGAGAATAAGAAAATTACAGCCAGTGCGTATCTTGTACCTGAAACCTGGGTCCCGTTGATGTTGACTAACGTGTTGCAGAGAGCTTGCTTATGGGAAGTAAGAAGAAGGAGAGCAGTGAGAAAGAGCATATCAGCCGTCAGTACCGCGTGTGGATGGAACATCTAACACGGGTTATCAACGAGTGCATGCCCCTTGACGAGTCGTATGTGCTTTTGCATAGCGCGAATATGATTGGTTTGTTCACATGTATCTTTGTGAAACATAAAGAGCGACAGCGGATCAAGGATATGAGCGCTGCAGAGGTGAAGCGTGGAATGGGTGGATTGCATGGAAACAAGGTACGCGTGCAGCATGACAATGTCTGCCCTCAGGCTGACTGGACCCTGTAGGGCGCACTTATCCTCCGCTTCATTCTTGACGACAGTTCTCTCTGCTTTGTGAACTGCCATTTGGCAGCCGGGCAGTCGCACACGACACATCGCAACAATGATATCGCCGCCATCCTGGAGTCGGAGTCCCTGCCGCCTGAAACTAGTCTCATGACTCGCGCAGATCGTTTTGTCAGTGGCGGGGATGGCTCGATGATCATGGATCACGAGATTTGTATCTTGAACGGAGACCTCAACTATCGCATTGACTCTATACCGCGCAACGTCATTATCGAGGACATTCGCAACAACAAGTTCACGAAGTTGCTCGAACGGGACCAATTGCTGGCATCGAGACGCAAGAATCCAGGTTTCCGCCTGCGATCGTTCATCGAGGCCCCGATCACGTTTGCGCCGACATACAAGTATGACGTGGGCACAGATGACTACGACACTAGCGACAAGAAACGTTCTCCCGCATGGTGTGACCGCGTCCTGTACCGGGGAATAGGCCGGGTGAAGCAGCTCGAATACCGGCGACACGAAGCCAGAGCCTCTGACCACCGTCCAGTCAGCGCATCATTCAAACTCCGGGTCAAGACCGTCCAGCCCAACGAACGCGCGGCAGTGTGGGAATCCTGCCAACAGGAGTTCCAGAAGGAAAAGCGCCGACTTGCCTCGGAAGCAAGGTACGTCCTACTCCGCGACCATTGACCTCTCCACCCAGCCAGATCTGCTAACTGAGAACCTCACAGCATTGAATACCTTATCAGCATTCTCGGCACCGAGCCCCAACAAGCTCGCGCATTGATTCTGGGGGATGGGAACTAATTCACCCTATCTTTAGACCCCCTTCGTTCATTGTTTCCCTAGATGCAGTTACATTGGCTATTGAGCGGATAAGAAGACTAGAGATTAGCGCAAGGCGATGTGTACGACTAATGATTTCACGATAGATATGTATCATGAGCTGGGTTAGATTATGGGGATGGGTAGAGCCTATAGTTACTTGCCTTAATTTTAATTGTGCTGTATCTATACGATGCCGGCTTTGCTGGGAATATCAATAGACTATGTTCTCTGATAGATTGGCACCACCTGACTGTCAATGGTAAATGCTAACCGCCACCAGATGTGGTATAGCGTGCCTAATCTGGTCAAGCGTCTAGCTGCCGCTTGGCGTCGTGGTGCGTGGCTTTTAAAGATGGACGGCAAGATAATCGCCTCCATGTGGGGCTGACTCGAGAACATAACTTTCGACTTTGGCACGTTCCGAGCCGTTGTCACATCGACCTAATCCATTCTAAATAAAGCCATTGTTGTAAACTTGTAATGACCTCCCATTCAATGACAGTCATCACGGAGTCGACCTCAGCTTCAATTGCGGAGAATGCCTGTGCTGCTTGCAGAGAGCAGAAAAGGGGATGCGACAAGATGTTGCCATCCTGCGGCCGGTGCACCAGGTACTGCAATGCATCTTTGACTACGAATCTGTTTGTCTTGCAACACCACTGAGAATGGGAAAAGGCTGAATCGTTCGTGCAATTATCTCTGGCATACCGCCTCCGACGTATCTCCGTCTGAAGGGCTGGCTTTTTTGCTGCGGCCGGAGTTGGACAACCCCAAAACGCCTGGCCTTGATGTCGATCTATTGTACTGTAATATGCTGCACCAAGCCCTGGAAGAACACAGTTCGACTCTCGCTCGGCTTGTGGACGAATACCTTTCCTACCTGCCATGGTTACCGGTTGTTATGGAGCGGCCTTTTATGGAAAGGCTTGAGAGACTAGGTCATGAACATAATGCAGATACTGCGCTACTTGCTCTCACCATACTTCTTGTCGTGCAGGGAGCCCTACCCGATAGAGCTACAAATCCGTCAGATCGAAATTACATCCTGTGCAAAGACCTTTACGCTGTTCTTCAGCTAAGGCGCGCGCCTTCATTACAACTGGTACAGAGTGGTCTTCTGATAGCCTTATATGAGATTGGTGAATCATCCCCGGGAGCGGCCTCGTTGACCATAGCAAGCTGTGCGAGGTTAGGCTACTCAATGAAACTCAATATAGACGATGGGGGTGACTACGAAGATTATCTCTCCTGGGAGGCTGCTGAGGAACGAAGACGGGTGTGGACTGGGATATATTTGCTGGATCGGTATCAGCGTCTCATGAGTAACTGCAATTTTGGAAGGGGCTGACCTTGTTTTGGTACAGCGTCATATACCAGGTAGTAACCGAATTCAAAGCGCCTCATGTATCAGAAGACCTGGCCGATCACTTCCGACTGCCTGTAGATGATGCATGCTTGAGAACAAACAAAAATGAAGCGACCCAGACTCCCTCCCACCAGCCGGTGTCCGTGCCGGTCGATGTTCCAGTCTGCTATTACGCCCGGGAGATCCAGGCTGTTCGTTTTCTCAGTGAAGTACAGTTGCTACAAAGACACGTCGACGTCAATTTGCAGCCGGAGCAATTCCAATCTCTGGACCACCGACTAATGCAGTTTGCGGAAAAGCTGTTTGAGCAGACGCCCCGGGGGTGGGCAGTCTTATGTGGAGCTAATGCGATCACCCTAACGTGAGATGCCTACCAGTACCAATCTAGGGCCGGTACTAATGGACGATAGGGCTGCATTGACCCTTCATTGGATTCGAATTGATTGTGCGGTGAAGTCCCAAACCTTCGGGGCATCTGATGATGCAGAAGCGTCGCTCCTAGCCTTGACTTCGTTTATTAATATGGCCCGCGACACATGCAATAATTTTAATATGCTCAGTGCGCATGAAAAAGTCCCATCTGCACCGCTACCTGCTGTTGTGTGTACGGGGGAAGCTGTCCTTACTGGGATTAGGATGAAGGAGCTGCTTGGAGAGCAGTTTCAGCTAGACTATGAGCCATTCCGACTGGCATTGCTTTACGCGAGGAAATCGTGGAAATTGGCTGGTATGTGTACCACCTTATGTACCATGGATTCGGGATGCTAACTCCCTCAGACCAATATTTGCAGCAAATGGGATGACCGTTGAATCTTGCTCGTGCCTCAAATACCTGTTTTCAATCTCCCTCAACTTGTCTCACTGAAAACATTGTTCATCTGTGCCACTATTGATCGGACTTCCGATCGAGCATCGTCCACAAGCTGCTTAACAGTGGTCACCTCCTTAATGGACCCAACCCCGGTGCCCCTGTTTGTCTTGTGTGAGTAGAGCTCCAAATATTTTTCACGTAGAGGCACTCACGCCCATATAATGGTTCTGTCGTTTTCTCCCCTTTCTCTAGCGTCCCTGTGCCGTTTAACGATTTCTTCATCTGTAACGCCGCTTCGAAAGTCCTCATAGCTGCGACCGATGATGGCCCTGCCATCATATTGCCTAGGCCAGATGTCGGTCGAATTGAACACATCGTGCTTCCGTGATTTAATTGTTGCTGTGGCTCCGTCAGTAGTGGAAACGAGCTTTTCTTTTGTGGAATCCGGAGCTCCGCATTCAACGGTGGCAAGGAACTGAGTTCAATGCGTTAGTATTCAGACGTGCTGGAGAAGTGAGGCCACGACTTGCTCTGGTTCCCATAACGACTCCATCCGCACCTTGCATATGAATATCATTAGCATCGTCCCTATGCTGTATATCATAACCTCTCGAAGATAAATGAAGCTCACCTAACCCCAGAGCCGCAACCATCCCCCTCGCATCAACAATACCACCCGCAGCCAGCAAACGGACCTCCTCCGTCTTACCCAATTCACGAAGCAGCCCCTTCACCTCCGGCACGAGCGCAAGCAGACTCGCCCCCTGCGCCCACTGGTGCCCACCCGCATCCGACCCCTGAACGACGAGTACGTCCGCCCCATGGTCGATCGCTTCCCTAGCGGCCTGGACTGTCCCGACCTGCACGAACACTTTCACATCCCAATTCTCCTTCTCTCTGAGCTGATGAACAGCCGTGATGACAGGCGCATATTCCAATGCATTCGCCGGAAACGAAAGCCAGATCCCGGTTGCCCGCGCGGCGCATAGAATCGGAAGCACATTTTCGATTAGGCCTTCTGGATGGAGCATAAGACAGCCTACACCGATGGGGAGTTTTGCATCTGGAGTTGCGATGCCGAGGAGTGATCGGGTTGCGTTGAGCTCCGCTTGCAGTCTTTCAAGCTGTGGAGACCCCGTTCTGAAGTCGAAGCCACCGGCTATGAATCCTATAATCGAGTTTCTGAGTCTTGGTATTGCTTAACTAGAAGGGAAGGGGGGGGTGTGTTTATAGGGTTGTACCGTAGCCCCCCGTAGATGAAACAGCGCTTGCTAGACGGCTATATGCATAGCCCTCCATGGGCCCATTGGCAATGAAGGGGGACTTAGTGTTTGGGAAGAGTTGATGCATGTTTCCCGTCTCTTTCTCGAGTGATATATGTTGGTGTAAAAATGGCGAAGGAAGAAGAAGAGGGGGCCAACAGCTGTGGTTTAATAGTACGTACGTACTGTCTTTTGGCGCTTATAGACGCTCTTTTGTTGGCTGCCAATGAAAGCTCTCGGTCCAGCATTGGAAGTGCGGCCGCTAGTGCCACCCCACTTGTTTCACTCAACCCCCGTGTCCCTCAGGACGGACACCAAGTGCGGCCGCTAGCGTGAAGTAGTGGCGCTGCCATACTACTTGAACGTTGACTGTTTCATCATATGGGCGCGGCCGCTAGCGTGTTGGTCAGCATCGTCCGTCCTACTCCCATGGCTAAGAATGGAATTGATTGATGAGAATACAGATTTGCCTCCGAATATGTATAAAAGGAGGTTCAGACAGCCAGTTTTTATTTCACACAATACGAACCTCCCCTCCTGCCTGATACGATCGTTTACTTTGGTTGTGCTTTACTTCTTAATCTATACCTCTCATTCACCATGGACCCAGCCTCGGCAAGAACACTCCTATTGATAGGCTCTGGTCCCGGAATAGGTGTGGCGGTGGCATCCTTGTTTGCCCAAAAGCACTTTGATCATATTGCCCTGTTCGCCCGGAATCCATCGCAACTACAAGCCGATAAGGAGACGATTCTATCCTCTGCTGCAGATGTTGGTCGCCAAGTGAAGGTCCGGACGTGGAAAGTCGACATCAGTGATCTGGAGCAATTCAAGGCGGCTTTAACAGAAGTCCAGTCCTTTGGGACACTGGAATGTGTCTATTTCAACGCGGCTCGCGTGGGCGGAAGCAACTTCTTTGATTTCGCTGTTGAAGATATCGAGTTGGATCTGAAGGTAACTGGAATATATTTCTGTCACTGCAGGGCATTGTCTAACGAAAATTAATCGACTCTCTCTAGGTCTCGGTTACGGCCCTCTACGTTGCTGTGCAATGGGCCATACCGATCCTGGCCAGTACCATGCAAACGAACCCAGGAATCGGCGGCATCAAGCCGACTATTCTAGTGACGAGCAGTCTCTTGCCTGTTGATCCGATTCCGGAATACTTTTCTTTGTCAATGGCCAAAGCTGCACAGGCAAACCTGGTCAAGTCGCTGCAGAAATTTGTCGCCAAGGGAACTCGCGTAGGAATGGTTATTGTGGGAGGCATTATATCACCGGACTCGGATTTCTTGAATCCTATCACCATTGCTGAGCAAGCATGGCAGCTATTCAACCAAGATGGCGCCAATTGGAAAGCTCAGGTGAGTATTCTGGAGGATGGAATTGATTGGTGCCCACGCCTTTGAGAATACCTTCCTGTCCTTCTATCCCAGCATAATTAGAGACTTGTTGTGACTCAGCCCGATGCGGCGCAGCTCTATTATAGTTTGTACTGTAGTAATATCCAGAAACATACTCTTGGATGAGAAACGAAAGCATCTTTAGTAGACTATGGTACTGTATTTTAATGCCTTGTTGTTGGTACTTCTGATGTACACACCGACTATACTGATCCCTTTGAAAACCAAAGACCATGCACAGCCATGGCCTTTCTACCGTCACCCACCGTCACTCTGTATAACTGTGTTATCTCCGTTGTCAACTCAGAGTTACTCTGTATACTCTGTAGCACGGGGTGCTGTGTGTACTATACTGGAACTGGAAGCCGGTAATCAGGGAGAAACAAAGGGAAATCACGGTAATTACTGCGAATAACCCCTTAGTCCAGAACAGTACCCATGCCATAACACAACCAGAAAAGAAAAATGAATCTTATGCGGGTGGGTAAATGGATCGCATCCCACGTCACCCAGCTTGGCGAGGGTCGAGTACCGGATGGGACGGGACGGGACGAGACGAGACGGTCCTGGTGATCATATCCTACCCTTATGTAGTGTCCTAATATCCGTATTTTGCGGACATGCCGGATAGTATGCCACGGAGAACCAATAAGAGATATCTCCACACAATGGAGGGTCTTTCTATAACCCGAAGCAGCTTAGTGTAGACCATACGTCTTACCAGTTCAAGTTTAGATCAAGGCAAGGCTGACGACCTTCGCCTTGAAGTTCGACCAGTGATTGGAAGTTCGTCATGAAGTTCGATATGTGGAGTTTATCATGAATCTCGACATGTGGAGTTCGCCAGCCATGGCCAAGTCATTTTATACCGGGCCAGTGGCTGATCACCACCAATGACATACGCTGTAGCAAAAGTCCAAATCTAACGGCCAGTGAGTCTACTACTAACCATAGGCTACCTATCTGGGGAATCTTGAATGTACGAATGTTGCGCAGGGCGGCTGACATACTTGTTTTTATTAAAGGACTTTTTATATGTTGCACACATCTACCTATAAATATGCATTGGAGGACATCTCTATATCCCTCATAGCTTTGCTATATTCATACATCATCGTCTAGGCTATTTTCAATTGCCCTATTCTCTCTGCATCTTTCTTTCCCCGTCAGTTGCTTGTTATGGAAGAGACAATTAGAGGTTCTGTACGGGGAACTTCGGAACCTTTGATCACGGAGGCCCAACAAGTTGAACCTACATTTCCACACCAGGGACAGGACTATTTAGACCCGTATCAGTCATATGCACCGATGACTGCTGTTCCATATCCTTCCCAGTCACCATCCTGCGTGGTGCCCTCAGACCCGAATTTTCCCAATTCATCGTCTGTCTTCTTTCCCTGGCTGCTCAATGACACTATATCGAGACCTACCCCTGTCAATGACGATATTACCAACTCTCAAGCAACTGTCGCCACATACATATCATCTCATGGCCACACCCCAACGCACCCCGGCTCCCCGAGTCCCAATATCCGGTATCCACCTCAGTCATCAACCACCACCACCAACAACAACACCTTAACAACGGACCAGAATTTCAATACCCAGTCCAAAACGACTAAAATCCAGTAAGCTCCTAAGCCCTTAGGTGCTACTTTATCATATCTTGTCCTCCCCCTCTAACAATGCTCTCCACAGGGCCAACAACTCAGCCAACCCCAAACAATGGCGCTGCGACTGGAAGGACTGCAAATACCGGGGCACATTCCGCCATAAGGCAGAGCTGATGCGTCATATTGAGTTCTTGCATGTTGCCCCAGGTTCACACAAGTGTCCGTCTTGCAGGAGGAAGCATAATCGTAAGGATAATCTTGGTGAGCATTTGAAGGTTCGGCACTGAGGGCTTTTGTACCTCCCTTAAATCCCTGCCGTTCCTCGTCTGGTTTTGGAGATATTAGCATGAATGCTCATCTCTCATTTCGGGGTTTGCCGTTTGTGGCGTTGCTTGGTAAGCAGAGCTATGGATTATAGGTTGTTGTTGTTGGATTTGAAAATATTTGGATTATTGAAGTGTTGCTTGTATTCTTTGCTGCGCATCGAGTATATCGAATACTCTGGGAAAGTTGTGTTAAGAATGCATGCGCAGGTGAAATCCACAGGGATGCAACTTTTAATGAGACTTGGTAAACTATTATATAGCATGATCGCACAATTCAGGCACAAGAACAAGATTATGTTCGCATTGCATCAAAAGGACTCTCCACATTAAGCTTATACTAGGCACTGGCTTAAAAAAATTCAATCTACAATCGGGCCACGTCCTTCTCGGCGTTTCTCTCCAAGTCGGCCACTGCCACTCTCTCCCTTCATACTCTTCCATTCCATAGTCAATGCCCCGATCCCCGTAGCACAGGCACAGGCAACCCCAACATAGAACGCATTGACCACAGCCGAGTTATAGCCAGGCAATATCAGAGCCAATTGTTCAGCACTGACAACCTCCCGCAGAGCCGTAGCACCCACCGATACAACATCCCGGGCATCCACCCCCGCAATGCCAGCGACATTCCGCGCCAGACAATTCGCAAAGACATTATTCGCGACGGAAATCCACAATGCACCGCCAAAATACTGCGCAAAGAAAACCAACGAGATACCCGTCGAGACATCCGCCGGGGGAAGCACAGTCTGCGCCGCGGCCGCGGGCTGCTGCATGCCGAGCCCTAGCCCTAGGCCAAAGCAGACCTGGTACCCGATCCAGGCGCTGTGGCCGGTCGTCGTGGTGAAAGTGGTCATCAGACCGGACCCGACCGCCATGAGGATAGAAGCGACGATCATGAACGGAGTGTAGTATCCGGATCTGGTTACGCCTGCGCCGGCGACGATGCTGCCCACCACCAGGCCGATGATCATGGGGAGTGTCATTATGCCGGATTTTACGGCGTTGGCGTCCTTGATTACCTGGAACCAGATCGGGAGGTAGTATAGTATGACCATCATCGCGCCGTTGAGCATGAATAAGTACCAGAAGCCGGAGAGGATGCTGCGTTGCAGGAAGATCCGGGGTGGCACTGTTCCGTTGTCTTGTTTCCATGTTTGGATGCCGATGAAGGATAGGAGGAGGATTCCGGCGAGGACGAGGAGGGCTATTACTCGGCTGTTGCTCCAGGCGTAGGTGGTGCCGCCCCATTGCAGCGCGAGGAGGAGACAGATCATTCCGGGTAGGAATACCGCTGTGCCGAGGGGGTCTAGCTTTGCTAGCCGCTCGCGGGTTGGGAGGTTGTTGTGTGGGGGGTCAGGGAGCTTCAAGATTAATGTGATGATGGCCATTGCGACGGCCCCGATGGGCAAGTTGATGTAGAAACACCATCGCCATGAGACGTTCTCCGTGAAGGCACCGCCCATCAGGGGGGCGATGACGGACGCAATGCCGAACACGGCGCCGATGAGCCCGGTGTACATGGGTCGTTTGTGCAGCGGTGCAATGTAGACGATGATGACGACGCTGCCTGACATGAGTCCCGAGGCACCTATGCCGGCGATGGATCGTCCTACAATGAAGGCCGTTGAGGACGGTGCGGCGCCACAGATCACCGAGCCAATTTCGAAGAGAAGGGTGGCACTTAGGAAGACCCATTTTGGGGAGTAGAATGTATAGATCCGGCCGAAGACCAACTGGAATGAGCAGCATGTGAGCAAGTAGGCACTGCCGTACCAACCGATGTCGCCGAGGGAATGGAAGGTATCTGTGATGCGTGGAATGGCCGTTGCAATGATCGTTCGATCCTTTGATTGTTAGTATTGCTGGTAATGCAAAGGAGGGGGATCTCTAATGAGCGTACTAGTGCTACCAAGAAGATCGCCAGGTATAAAGCGATTGTGATCATGATTACCCTCGGCAACGGGGGATATTCATGGAGATCCTGCTGCGAATGACTCTTGGTCTCATTGATTTGCTCTTCCTGTGTACCCATATTAACATTGGCTGAAGAAGGGGACTTTTGAAGATCGATAGACCGGCTGTCGCTCAGTGTAGCCATATTGAGGAGGGTTGTATATCTAGTTGTATGTGCGTTTGACTAGTTGAACATACACCATATGGTATATTGAGAATATGTGTAATGGGGATTCAGGAAGGGTATAGATATGCCATCAACAACACAGCAATCGTTCGCTTTATAGTTCTCATTGACGCCTAAATATGTCCAGCAGAAGATACCAAATCAGCCTCGGGGTCTATCTCGGGTAGTGAAATGTCTCGGGCCCGAGACCAAGTAAGCCCTAACAAACCACCAATAATGTACCATGAATACACATATGACCTGCCTCGTATTCGGGCACAGCCTCCTGATATCTCATACTAGCAGCTCGGTCGAAAGTCCTCCTGTCCCGAATCCTTATCCGAACTCAAACATACCAATGGACGAGAGTGTAGTATCTCAGAAAGGCTATAACCATACCCTTAGCTACACATCATCTCCCAACATTCTGCGCTGCAGTTATCCTTTCACTTCTCTTAGTCCAAGACTTGTCAGCTGTCTACCTTTCATTTTCACCCTTCCTGAACAAACCTATGACAATGGTAACCGCTAATACCATTTATCGACTCGTTGCTGTTTTCAAAACGTGTATTGCATTTGTCTCAGATATTCCGCAGACCACAGCTGCAGGAAGGGACCAAACCAGTGGCATAGGATTGAAGAACATTATGACGGTATGGAGCTGCCATTTGTCGGTAATAGCAGTTTCCGACAGCCGTGGATGGTTCAATGGGTGGAGTAGTCAAGGTGCCTAGTTCTACTTCGACATCCTCATCCTCTCTTTGCGTCATTTATCAGCAAGTGATGTAGCTTACCATAACATTTAGCACTGGCTGGTGACTCATTTAGCTGAGGCGTGAATCAAATTCAGCTAGTCTCTGCTGTTTGTGTTATTGATGACCCAAACACAACACGGTCAGCACAAAGTGTATATCATCGTCTGATTTCTCTGCGTGAAGCCACCCATTTGCCCAGATATATTCAAGATCTTTTTTTGAATCTGTATCCTTATTTTCAAAGCTAGACCCGTAGATCCCGATCCATAGGTTGTTCTATTTCTAGCAAGGGTGGGAAATCTGTTCTATTCCCGTAGTATGTCATTGACAACCTCTCCACGGCCGGTTGCGTTAATTATACTTGCGATTAGGTAGCGCGTCTCGATAAGGATTGGGCTCGGACGAGGATATCTGCGGTCCTGGGATTGTACAGTGATGGTTCTGTGTTGTGGGAAATCTAGAAGATCAAGGATCACTGTCCAAGACATATAGAGCACGGTATTTTAAATAAGCCGAGAATGCGCTATAAGCAACCTGCAAAGCTTTAGTTTAGTTAGACTATCTTGAACTATTTCTGTTCGTGTGATAAGCAGATTGAATAATTCAAGTAATACACTTGCCACTATCACTTTACCATCCCCCAGTCTCATACTTCAGAACTCAGTTAATGAGTGGCTTCAAGCATGCCACCTAATATTCCAGCCCTTGATTCCACACAGCATGGGAAATATTATGCGAGGGCCCCATTATGGTAATAATGGGCATAGCCGGGAGGGTCCGGTTTTCCAAGCTGGGATGGGTAGAAAGTCCGGCCTCCCAGTCATTTTTGTCGACTTAGATTTCTATGTTGAACTCTAAATCAAATAGCCCTGGTCAAAGAGCTTTTGCCTCACTAGAATTGTTTGTAGTTTAGTATTTCGTGTGCCTTCAGGAGACATTCCATAGATCACCTCTTTGTATGGCGATTCAATGGCCAATCTACCGCCCATCACTAAATCATTTGCTGATGTTTGAGAGCATTGGAGATCCCAAAATTGGGGTGCCTATAGATGTGAGACAGTTATATGATAAATCCGGATCAGTTCCAGGGTTCCCAACGAAGGATCCTCGAGAGGGATCGGGATTTATGCTAATTAGTTGGATAGGTTTTACCTTGGCATTGGTTTATTGAATCCATTGGGACAGTCTTTTGTTTCCCGTTCCTGAATTACTCCGTAATATCTCCGGCCATGGGTATTCTGCATCGTACGTTAAGATCCCACGATTGTGGACGATGAGAGTGGGAAACACTCGAAGCGAGGCCGGAAATTAACCATATAGCCCATCTGAAAGTCGGCTAAATGTGTGCCTATCATTTCTCCACATGGCTTGCCATTCTGCAGCGATTCTTCACTGACATCATGGTCTAGGTAGCCTTCATTTATGCCGGAGATATTAATCCACTAGGGCCAAGACACTACGGACCATCCGATCCTTCCACGTGCAGCCAACACACCTTGAAGAATAGCAGTCTAAGGTCTTAGTATGGACTACTCCTGCACTAGGCGCATGCTCGTCACCAACGGCAGTTCTGCTAACATCGAGGATAGATTAAACCGTCGGAGTGCCCCTTTTCATCATCCGAGCGACGATCCCCAAGATGCAAGTACATTAAGGCCGGGCCCAGCGACGATCACTCTCCTCTTTTTCTTCACTTGCGACCTGGCACTTTTCCTCCCAGGCAAGGATCGGAGAAATCAAAGAAAATTAGGGAAGAAAATGCGCTCTATCGCATACCTTGCTAGCGGTCTCCCGGTCGCTTTGGCAGCCACTTCCGGCCAATTCGATGTTCTCTCCTTCAACGTAGCCGGTCTTCCGGCTATCCTCAACGGCAACGAAGTGCCCGGCGATAAAACCACCAATTCCGAAGCAATTGGAACCAAGTTCGCCGAATACGATTATGATGTGATCCATGTGCAAGAGGACTTCAACTACCACGCTTACATATACAAGACCGACACCCATCCTTATCGCACCGCCACCTCCGGAGGGGCGGGCATCGGATCGGGTCTGAACACACTTGCCAACTACCCTTGGGTGGACTTCGAGCGCGTCAAGTGGGAAACATGCTCTGACGCCTCTGGTGCCGATTGTTTGACTCCCAAGGGATTCACCACGATGCGTGTGCGTTTGGACGAGGGTGTCTATGTGGACTTTTACAATTTGCATGCAGATGCCGGGTATGAACTTCCAACTCCAAAAACTACATATGCCGGTACTGATGTGTCCCAGTTCTGAGACCGACGATGTCAAAGCCCGCAGTGCCAATTTGCAGCAGGTGGCCGATTATATCGGAAACAATTCCGCGGGCAATGCGGTTCTGGTCTTCGGCGATACTAACGCACGATACACTTCTTCTGGCGAGAATATTCGTGTGTTCGGAACAGAGCAGGACATGAAGAACCCTTGGGTAGAGCTTATCCTGAATGGTGTCGAGCCTACGGAGGGAAGTGATCCCTGGATGTGTGACAACCCGACGACGAACAACACCTGCGAGACGGTTGATAAGATCTTGTAAGCGACCCGTGGAGTTAATGTATTGTCGAGTCTTAACTAAACGACAGGATAGTTACCGGGGAAGCCGTTCCATCGAGTTAAGTTCGACCTTCTGGAGCTATGTGGGCACCAAGTTCGAACTCGATGGCCATATTCTCTCCGATCATAACCCTATCGCTTCCAACTTCACATGGACTTTGTCTGACTCAGTGCGCCAGAGTGATCTTTTCGGTGGTCCTCATGGGTATGTATTACTCTCGCCACCCATACATTGACATTCCACTAAGCCAAGCATCACAGAAACTGGTTCAACGACCTCTCCTCTGTTCCCTCATCGTCAACGGGCGAGAACAAACCAAGCAAGATCACCCTTCGGGGCGAAAACCGCGTGGACAGTGTAGGCTTAGCTTTGACTTCGGGTCAGACCTACACCCACGGAGGAACAGGCGGCACTGCATCTGAACTTGCCCTGGCGGAAGACGAATACTGGACTCAGGCGAAGCTCTGCCAGGATAAATACGATAATCATACTCGCATCTTCTACTTGCTGGCGACGACTAGCGCTGGCAATACGGTCAGTACCGGGAAAACGACAGACGACTGCAAGGAATTCACCGCGCCGGACGCGTGGCAGATTGTTGGGTTCTATGGACGGGATGGAGATGAGGTCGATGAGTTGGGATTCATTTATGCGCCGCAGTGATGGGGGTAGCGCCATGGAGGGATTTATCATTCCTTGTATATACTACGAGATCTATTCTGGAAAATATGCTGGGTATTTAGAAAGGCTTTCCAAGTATGTTAGTTTCGAGTGAGATATCGTCTTCAAATGGGGTCGTAGGCTATTTGTTCCCAAGGCATTAAAGCAAGAAAGCATTTTGGAAGCCCAGGAGAGGTATACCATACCACTGGGCGTCTTGACACACTCAACCTTTCGATATCAATTTCTAAACATCCGATAAACAGCAATGGCTATCAAGATAGACCAGTTCAGCATCGTGTGGTGACACTCTCTACGCTTGGGTATCAAGTGTCAATGACAATGCTCGTCTTCAGGTCAGGGTTTTCATTTTCAATAATCAGATAGGAGTTATGTCACAAAATTGGAACCATCCGCGCATATCGGTTGCGGTTGATTCTGTAACACTTCCTCAAGATGTGTGAATTGATCTACCAAGGCACAATGCCTTGATGGCCCATTCACTGATATTAAAGTCAAGTGAATTCAAACAGGCGGCCTTGGTAGCCTTGGGCAAATGGTAGACCTTTAAATATCAGGGAACAATTCTGCTTTCTGATCCAAAGCTCGTATTTTTCCTTCTTCTTCTAACCTCTAGTTTCCTTTAGGTCTTGAGATCTCATACAACACACCATACTTCATAGAAAGGCTACTCTATCCTAGTCATTAACAGGTTGAACTTTTCTTTGTCATTGACTGGAAAGGATCATTACGTTAAAATTCATAAACCATGGCAGAAAAGCGCCCTCATGATAATGAAGATGCCAGTGACAGCAAACACGCTATGCCCTACCAGAAAGCTTCAACAGTGAAGCTTAAACGTCCAAGGTAGGTAATCAACCAAAGGAGACCTCCAACATCTTAATAACTCAAATTAGACGGAACATACCCCTGCCAGGGACGTCCTCATCCCCACTAGTTGATGCACTTCGCCTCGCCAGACAAATACCAGCTACACCAAACGAAACCCCGAAGAAACTTTCGAGTCTCAACCTCCTCTCCAGTGGTGAAACAGCCCAAGTCAATAGTGAGAGCTCAGGGCTTCAGCCTAAGCCTTTGGAAAAGTTAGACACAGTGGTTAAAGATTTCTTTCGCGATGGTCCTGTTGTTGCGTCTGTTAAATTCTATGGTCTTCAGAAATGTGTGCGGGCAGGACGAACACGGATTCAACAGTGTCACTTAGCTCCTTTGGTCATGACACCACTCATTGCCTGCTCGATACCGTGGAACTCCTGCAAGCTCGCTGCCACCCTTGTCCTTCTACTTGCCTCGCCTCCAGAACCTACGTCTACGTTCGAGGCTCTCAAGTTTCTATCTAGATCTCTAGGCGGGCTTCCCACGATGGCAGACGTTCTCAAAACTCCATCAGCTGACCTCGCGAAACGGTTTGTGCAGGCGAAAAAAGCAGCGATTGATGGGAAGGAGGACAAGGTGACAGTGCTAGGGGTCAACCTTGTTGATGTGGAGATGCTTAAGGGTGGTGAAAAGGAGAGCCGCGATATGAACTACTTGTCATTGTCGCATTCTTTTGTTATAGCTATAGCAAGAGAGGGCTTTCGCATTTACCAATCATGGGAAGAGCATGGATATCGTCTGGATCAGTATGTGATGAGAGGAGGTTCTAGACTTCGGTCCTGGGAGGATGCAACGGCTTTCCTTAAGATGTTTCAGAAGCTTTGTCGCTTTCAGGTACGTGGTTTATTATATAACAGCAACCTCTCCGGAGAAATTTAACAATGTACAGGAAACCTGGACAGGTGAACTGAATGTTGCCTATGAACAGTGTTTTGGGGTGGATATCATGTTGATATGTGGTCGAGACAAGCTGCAGCCTCCTACTGTCCGACCCTATCGGCCTTGGGTGAGAATATTTGAGATCAATGACGTGAAGACGGAGAACTTTGAAAAGTTTACTTGGGAAGGATACGTTCAAGGAATGGAGGCGTTGCACTCTCGGAGCCAGAGTGGTTTCTCTAGGGAATGGGTCGGAAGAGCAGACTGGACCTGACTGAAGCAAAGGGTTGTGTTATGTTGATCTTCAGCGCATTGGGAGAGAGAATCAAGAATAATTTATAGGATGTATCGTGTCAAGCCTGTCAGCAGGTAGGAGTGTGACTGCCCTGAATGAACTACTCTCCTTCTAACACCCCTTACTATATTCGTATCTACCTGCCCCTCAGTTTCATCTTCCTCGTCCTAATTTCCTGTTCTTCTTTGCCCTTGGCCTCAGGAACTTGGTCAGTCAATCACCTCTAGGGGTTTCCTACCTTTCTTCACTCCCATCCAAGCCATTTTTGCATATGCCTTGGGTTCCCGGTCGCGTAGTTGTTCTTACCAGTGTCATCTGTACGTCTGGAGAACGTTATATGCGGACATAGGAAGAACAAACGAGGGATAGGAAGACGAGGGAGAGAGAAACGAGGGTCGAAGGGAGTAAATCGTATTCCGAATATCTGTATTATCAGATCGGTATGTTAGTATAACTTGAATGGCATGGCTGAAAGATATATGACTTGCTCATACCGCAGTAGTAAGCGATACTGTATAGGATGTGCGTGGCTCGGGGTTCTCAATGCTGGTGGAAGTTTTCAAAGGGTGAAAATCTCTGATAAAATGATATATCATTGAGACAAAATTGATGACACGCAACTATTCAATAAAGTATTGTTGCCGATGAAGAAATAGAAAAACAACGAACTTCGATTATTCAAAGGAAAGATCCCTCAAGAGACATACTATAGGTACCTTTTTGTTCTCCCAATCTCTAACTTACCAATGCTAGCTGATTCATGAAACCGTGTGACCGCTTGGTCCATCCCCAAATGTGGCCTCAAACTGCACTGACCTATTAATAGACTCCATGGGGTAGCCACTACAAGATAAAAGTATCTATTAGTAAACCCCTTTTGAAAAGGATATCTTGAGCTTACACTTATCGCTGTTATGTTAGTCGTGCCAGTATGTCCTCAACCAGAAAGCAACATTGGTAGTTCTTCTAAGCCTATCGTACAGTACGCCCAATCCACCGCTTGAAGCAGTGACAAATATCTTCCTACTTTGCTGCAAGAATCTCCATTGTCTCCTATCTTACATATATCAAGGTGAAACTTAGGCAATGGGCAACAGGACCACACGCGAACCATTCATGCAAAGCCCAAAACATATTCTGTAATCACAGGTTATGGAGTACCCTGTTCAAATATCGCCATGTAACAATGATGCAAAGAAACCATGTAAATGTCGCAATTAGAGGCATCGCCGTATAATCGTACATGGGTCTTCTTTAAGACATATCTCGTAATTGGTAGACAGGTCATGAAAATTTGTATGCACTCACCGCAACGACCACCACGCCATTTTCATTTCTTCTCGCTGACAGCCCAACCCGATTCCAATAGTATAGTTATCCAGATCTCCATATGGCCATCAAGTCACGCTTTAACTAGATTAATTCAGAGACGGGCCTATAAACCTATACTCTTTCCAAAGCAAAAGCGGAAGTCATCCGAGTGTTCCGCTCCCACTCAGGAAATTAACGATAGACACTCACACATAGAAATCAATGCTGACGATCAGGGTCAGCTCAACGCTCACCGACTCAGGAAAATGTCAACTTCTTACAGGCCGCCAACGCTATTAATATGTCTGTAGTGTACTAGTAGGATCCAAGTACAGGCGTTTCTCCTGATCAAGACCTCCACTTGAGATAAGTTAATATAAACTCGGGCTGTTCGGGATGCCGGAAGTCGGTATTGGGCCCATAAATATACTCATAGTATTTATATATAATATTGTTCTGTGCGTTTATGATTGCCTTTCCGTTGAATATGATTATCAATTATTGATCTCAAAACATTAGTATTTAGTTTATAGTGCACCAGAAAAGTCTCTGGTCATTATGCGTGTGTTATGATTAGCTGCCTCACACTATCAATTAGAAATGATCATCAAATCTCAGACCATGTATGTCACAATAGAGTTCGATTGCCAGGGCTCGGCAGCCAGGATCCGGCGCCCAAATTGCGTAAGCCACGAGTCTTGCTGCCTGCATGCAGCAAACATATGACAGGTGTAACGCCAGCCAATCCTTTACGTTCACTACAATATTCTAGTTCATCGTCTTTTACGAACAAGACTGGTGGCGTAGCGGAACGTGGATTCCATAAAGTCCGTTAAAGTTCACTTAGGGTTATGTGTAGCAGTCTGAAACTCGGCGAAGATCCCGTGTCCAGTAGAGAGGGCAGGAAGGTGCTCCGTCGAAAATAGGGCAAGCCACCAGAAGGTTAAGAGCCGACTGTTTGGTCCCTTCATTTATTTTCGGCGGCTCTTCAGATACGCGAGCTCCACAGAGTCCACTGTTTCAAGCTCATCTTTACCCCTTTTACTCATTCCACGGCACACACGGGCCATGTTCCAGGTTTCCAGAACCGCACTGCCCATTCTGACCATTACCGTTGAAGAAAAGTCTCTGGGTGTTTCACATTTTGACCCTTTTTACCGTTTTGGCTCCTTAAACGCTGGAGAGCTTCGAATGGGCCCTGTTCGAAGCTTCTGTTCCCTGATAGATCAGATCATACGAAATGGACCCAATGGGCGCCAGAAGATCATTTCCTATTCATCCACGGAGCTCTATACTCTTTGCTGTGTATATGATTATCGAATACTGGTTGACAGGCTATATAAGCCATGAAGCACCCCTTGGATAGCACTTCATACCAAACACAACTCTGCCAACTACCAACCTCACACATTCATTTCAATCATTTACTCTTTCACTCCTTCTATCCAACCAAGTATTCACAATGAAGCTTTCTCTGAACCTTCTGCTCCTCCCCATGGCCCTCGGTGCCGCTATCAGTGTCCGTGACGAGGGCCGCCGCGGCAACTACTCTGTCCAGGGCTTGGGCGAGCGCAAGCAGGCCATCGTCAGCGCCGGCGGTAACACCATGGACCTGGCAATTGCCATGCTGGAGAAGTAAGCTCCACCCCTTTTAAACCAGGCATCAAAAAGTATACTGACGGGCAAACGTTAAAGCGACAAGATGGACCCCAGCACCTACCCCTACGGTAAATCTATACCCACCTAGACTGGTCCCGATGAGCCAGCTATTCTAACAGAACACAGGCGACGGCAAGACCGGTGATGCCACCAACTTCGGTATCTTCAAGCAGAATTGGATGATGCTGCGCACCTCTGCCACCGAGTTCCTCGGCGAGAAGGTTGAGGATGTCAAGAACGGCGAGGTCCTGAAGTAAGACACTCTACTGCGTTGTTCTCCTCCACAAGATCTAATATATTTGCAGCACCAACCTCGAGAAGGACATCAAGGCCCGTCACGACGGCGAGAAGAAGTACGGTTTCGATGTCTGGTACGCCGGTCATCGCAACGGCGCGTCCGGTCTCGAGAACCCCAACACCCAGGATATCAACAGTATGTTTTTCGATAATTCCGCATTGATGCCTATGCTCACCAGATGATTAGACTACAAGAGCGCCGTCAAGTGGATCAAGTCTCAGATCGAGAGTGACAAGAAGTACCAGAGCGATGACACCCGTTTCTGGGTCGATGTCGTTGCTATCTAAGCGGCTCATCGTGATGGTGGCTGTTCGCTAGGGACAGATGACATGTGGCGGTTTGGTATTCGGCAGACTTTCATTCTTTTTCTACATTTAGACTCCGGGACTGGTTCCCTGTCGCTCCTTTAAATTTACTTTCAATAGACCGTGCTATTTTACTTAGGTTTCCGTTATTTGTCCGTCTGCGCTATATTCTATAGTGTGAGGTGGGATCAACTCCTAATAGATGCTTTAGACTGAATAAATACTGGCTGACATGTAATACCTATAATACATACATATGGTCATCTACAAAAAGCACATAGTATATGAAAAACAAAAAAGAAACACCTTAAATCCCAGTAACACCAGGCTTCACCCTCTGCAAATTCTTATAGGATGAGATCTCTAGTTTTCAGACTTCGTAGATGCCGGGGCGATTCGTGGAGGATTCGATGGACTGTCGGACTTCGTAGCATGCGGTGGTGTTGCGGATAGCCAAGATAATTTTCATTGAATCGAAGCAGACAATGCGGTTGGGTGCCTCAAGGCCTAAGCATATGTTGTCGCCTGTTGTTATGATCGTTTGGTCGGTGAAGGGGCGGTTGGCCATTCTGGGTGGTGGAAGAGCTGGCCGTAGATAAAGGAAAGGAAAGAGATCAATGAATGTGTTTGTATTGAACTTGTATTATTTCTTGTGATGGTGGTTTGGTGCCATTATTGTATTCTGTGAGGTTGTATATATATATATATAATTGCTTTCGTATATGTCGTGAGTCCTGGACATACCAGCTTTAACGGTGGCGGAAATTAGGCCGGGTATGTCCAACTGGGGTCGCTGTAACTATGAGTTCATGTTTCTTTTCTTGAAAGGGGCATGTCGTTTGTAAAAGATGACGTATAAGCCGAATAGAAAGGCCATTCAGTATGACCTGATTCTCCTTAGAAAAAGCACAGACGTGCAATCAAAGACCAAATGATAAGATCATTGTCTAGGTAACCGCCAGAAGGGACCTCCAGCTATTCCATTTCTGTCATGACGTCTTTTCTGGCCACTGTCGTCCTCATCGGGAGAGGAGAGGAGAGTTAATGGAGGCGAAGATACCTCAAGCGAAGGCGTAGTGTCACCCACATTGCATGTGTCTGTCACATCTCCCAGATAATCTTGAGCTAGAGCAAGGGTAGGCTGGGTGGACATCGTATCGAAGTGCGGTGCCTGAGCTAGCCATCGCTTTACGATAGTAACCGCTTGACATGTTGCCGGGTAGTTATCATTCTCCGAGCACACAGTCACAGAGTCATCGTCTGAGTCAGACAGAGTCAATTCATCTCTATCCGGGTTAGGGAAAAGCTCTGGGAACAGGAAGCGCAGACGCCGCTCAATTCGATCCAGTCTCTTTGATAGGTCTTCGATGGCAGATCTGTGTTTGTCAGTCAATGGCCCTCTTTAGGTGTACACTGCGAGGAGCAAAAAGGGATGTACAGACCTATCACTCCCCTGCCCTTCCTTCCCTGCCGCATCTGTTGGCAGACACTGGTCCCTGGTAGTCCTCCAGTGGTGCACGCCAACGGTCTTCTTGCAACAGTCTCGCCCAGGCAATAGACATGACTGGGAAAGCGATACGTTGTCACACTATTGGGCTAGTCAGTCGTCATCCATGCAAGATGAAACAAGGTAAAGAGATAATATTATCTTACCCTAATCTCTCTCCCCCTGCAATAGTCGCTGTTTGGGTCAGCAATTCCCTCAGACTCAGTGTATAACAAATGCAGCAGATTATCTCAGACCTACCACGTCTTTGACCGAGACCTGGCCCATAACTGCCGTTTCTTGATAGGCCAATCCGGTTCACTATCACTATGGGAGTCATATGCAGGGCGCTTGGCGCCTGTTTGGTGGCAGGCAGTTGTATCGCTCAGGGTGCGTGCCATTATGGTTTATAAACGTCCGTATGTTGTTTGTATTCTGACACATTGCACCTTGATAGTTGTGACTCCCACTCATTTGTATGTACTATCGGCAGGACTCCCGTTACCCGAGCGTGGCGGCCGGGAAACCCCCAGATCGTTCCGCCACTCGGAACGGAACGATTAGTCAATGTCTACGGAATTACGGGAATTGATGCCTTCGGGTGAGTATGTGCATATTCCCTGTCGGATATTACGGATACAGCGAATTTAAAACGTTGATATTAATAGCTCCTTGTGCACAAGCTTGACTGTTGTGTTGAGTGGCCCTTAACTGGCCCGGAATTATCGGAACGAGGGACGGAGGAGACCGTAGCTTTCGGCGAACCTTATTTGCGATCTTATTTGTATTCCAAGGTTCTGGAAATATTGATCACAAATGCCAACTGACGTTGGGTTTATAATCATATCATGACGTACGTGAAGTGTTAACATGGGCTTGTAGTCCTTCAGAAAACAAGACTATAATCATATTCAACTCATTAACTAGTACATATTATCAAGATTATTAGGTTACACTAGACATGAATATACAGTAATCATAAACAAACACAGAGCATAAATCACAAAGCACTAATGGAAATACGCTTGGCTCCCGCATTGCCATTCAACAATGCTGATCCACTGGTCTGTCTCAAGTGGTTGTGGTGCGTGTCCAGGTCCTCGACATCAAAACTGAATCGACGGGGTCGCTCCCAGACACCAACACTCTCATCAGCATCAGTGACCGCTTCGAGCTGCTCCGACGAGAGGCCAAACTTGGTGGCAATTTGCTGCACTCGTTCTTGTGCGGCTGCCAGATCAACACCGCCACCCTGGCCCTCCTTGGCAAGACGGGCTTGCGCATGTTGAAGCAGCTCCAGATGCTGTGTAACAGCCTCGATGGCACCTTCCTGGTGATCGGTGTCACTGTTGAGCAGCTCGGCAAGTGCGGACTCGTGCAACGCTGCAGCAGCGAGGTGGTTACCCGAGGCCGTGTACAGGCCGGACAGCAGCTTGGTCATTTCCAGAGTGACGGGGTCACAGTTACCCCAGACTTGACGGAGGTTGTAGCAGATATCTTTACCAAGTTGCGTGGCGGATGAGACGCGACCGCGGCAGAAACGTGTCTCGACCAGTCGGCGTCCGATCCAGACAACGGCTGGGAGTGACCAGGTTTTTTGGACAATACGCGAGGTCCAGAGCTCGGTGAGAATGGCCTGATTTGTTAGCATATCCATTTTTCTGTATTTTAAGAAAACCCATACCTCCAAATCTTCAAACATTTCATGTTCACCTAGCACAGTGACAAGGTCGTTCAACTCGGCGAAAGGAAGCTCGGTGAACTCCAGCGGGAGTTCCTTGGTCTTGGTCATAATTTCCTGTAGTAACATCTGAGACTCCAATGACATATTCTTTGCAGTTGTCTCTTCGGTACACTTCTTGGTCTGATATCCGTTCAAGTACATGCAGAGTTTGATAGCAGTGAAGATGCTTTCCGGCGTACGCAATCCGTCGGTCAGATGCACAAAGGAGTGGAACACCCCAGTCACATCTGCTGCATCTTGGAACTGCGAACGATCGCAGAGGTCCTTCACCATACTCATGGTCGAAGTAACTATGTTGATATTATAGTCGTCCTGGAGTGATTCCCGCCTGCAAAGAGCGTAGAATTGCTGCACGGTATCCTTCTTTCGGAGCGGCTGTGCCACAGACAAAGTGTTGCAGAAGTAATCGTACAGCCTGTCCTGAGTATCCTGAGCGGAGCTGTAGCGCTTCTGGTTCGTTTGAAGCGTATGAAGCTTCTCTCCAGCTGCCAAGGTAGGCATGAGATCATGGCTGGATAGACTTCGTTGGAAGGCACTGTAGACCTGACCCTCACGGGACAGTTCGTCAAGGATCTGCTTCGACGAGCGTTGCTTACCAAAGACCTCCTCAAATGCAGCGACGAAGACGGCTGGGCGATACTCATTGAGTGATTGGCGTTGAGCGGCAGGTGTCTCGTTGATTACACGCTGGTGCAGGTCGTCAATCAGCCGGTTGCCCTCATCGATGTAGCCTAATTCCAGGTAGATCTCGGCCAGTCTGTGAGCACGGTCAACCAATGCTTCATGGTTAGCAGTAACGTGCACCACTTCATCGACATGGTCATCGAGTAGAGCTGCACCCTGACGACGAGACTCGGGAGATGTTTGAATGGCATGCATCCGGGCAATCTCGCGTAGCCACAAAAGTGTGGTCGGAGCGGAGAGCCCCTGCTGCTGTTTGGCCAATGCTAGCTCCTCAGCATACAGGGAACGTGCGGGTTCCGAAGTGTCCTTCTGGCGGAGATACAGCTGCGCCATTTGGTGCTTAATGCTAATTGGAAGGGGCTCGGACATATCGGGCAAAGCACGCGAACTTTCTGAGGGTGACACCCAGTCATGGGTATTCAAAACCTGGTGGTAGTGGTTAAGAGCTTCCCCAGCATGCTGATCGCTATCCGCGCAGAGAGCAGCAAGTGTAAGGGTTGCATCGCGTGTCCGTGCATCTGTGGGGCCATACAACTTGCGGCATAGCTGCTGGTGCTGGGATGCAACTTGGTATCGCTCTGCGTGACTTCCATGTTCAGATTTGTTCAGAAGTTCCATATAGCCAGTGTAAGTTTTGGGCAGTAGTCCCTCAAGCAGAGCACGGTCATAGCCGTCCTTTTCATCAAATCGTACAAGGGTAGGCCACAGATGGCGGTAAACCTCGAGGGCTGAATCCCACTGCTTGTTCTGCACGTGGATGTTTACCAAGGCCACTGCAGCCTTGACACCAGAAGAACTAACTTTACCATCGCGAATGCATGCTTCGTAAATGCGACGATAGCTGCTCTCAGCTTCGGCTCGCTTATCCAGACGCAAAGCCAAATCACCTTCATAGTATCGAGTGTCGATTGTGTGCTTGTCGTGATCGCCCAGTCGAGATCCAAAGAACTCACTGACCTGATGAAGGAGAACCAGGGCCTTTTCAAACTGGAAGGTAGTCTCATAGAACTCAACCACAGTCTTCACCACAGCGGTGACTGAAGGGACGGCCACCTGATCTGCCGTGATAGAGGCCTTGAATGCATTACCATATACCACGGAAGCAGTCTGTATATCCAGTCGGCGGAACAAACAATATGCATGGTCCAGGGCCAGGTTAGCCAGAATAGGAGCCTCACTTGAAGCGAACTTGGCTTTCGACCGAGGGTCTTCCACTGTGGGCCATGCATGCTTCAGGACCGCCCACGCAGTGTCACTGCCCTCCCGCCACTCTTCATCACGAATGTGTTGTGTTGTCAGTTGATGGCAGAGTGTTAACAGTGGTAAGGTTCGTTTCTCAGCTCCTGCAGAGGCAATAGAATCAATCCAACCTGGAAGGAGCTTACTCTCTTCGGGAGACAAGGCCCCCATGCTTTCCACATTACCCTGGGTCGGGAGGGATCCGCTGGCCAGTGACTCTGCCAGGATAACAGCCTCTGGCGAATATTGCTGACCGCTAGCTTGATAATATTTCCAGATCTGTAGCGACAACGCGCGATCCATATCATCCAAGCCCATTTCGCGTGCTTCGACGCGTAGTTCCTCGGCCCGTGAAGCCATCTCCGGGGATTTGACACCACCCTCAGCCTCCAAGTCTGCTGACAGTTGGCGGAGAATGGCAGTCGCTTCATCAGGTCGTCCTTGACGGCGAAGGAACTGTGAGTAGTAGAAAGCGACCTTTGTCTTTTGATCCCAGGCGGGACTCGTGTCGACACTGCGCGCTGAAAGGCCTGACCAAAGCCGGGTCAAAACAGCTTCAGCCTTGGCCGGCTGCCTGCTATCTTCGTACATTTGAGCCAGCTGTAGCGAGTAGGCAACACGACGTGGATCGGTGGCATCCATAGAGCGCATCATGGTCTCATACTTGTTCCGTGCGATTTCTAGAGCCATCTCATCGGGGGGCGCGATGTTGAAATGTTGAGTGAGGAAGTCAGCAGCCTGCATCGCTTCGGACGAATGGGAACCGTATGTCATGACCGTCTGTCGGTAGAACTGCTTTGAAGCATTGTATGCTGCATCTTCTTGGTTATTATCTCTGTGAGATTTTACCAGCCGATCAAGATATTGCAGGCGTTGGGCAAAACTAATATCGGATGAATCCCATCCAGACAGTGCCATATCACGTAGTGCGTCAGTCTTGAAGCCGGCTACTTGGTCTGCCTTACCACGGCCCTCAGGAGTGGCTACAAGGAGCTGCTCCAACTCGCGGGTGATGGGATCCGATGCGCCAAGCTGGGAACGGCTACGCATCCAGGCCTCATACAGATGATCATTCGCCCAGGAAGCCTTCGCCATGTCTGCTGCACGTGCACTGAGGATCAAACTCTGTAGTAAGGCAGGTGAATCACCGCCCAGTACACTGCGGCGTACTGTAACAGCTAAGCGGTACAGCTCTACAATGCTGGATCGAGTAAACTGAGACTCGCGGTTCGTCAGCTCCAGCTGAGCAAACAGGACTGAATCTGGCATGGCCTGACGGAACGGCTTCTGGAAGTTCAGCTCGTCGCGCTTAGAGCTAGCAATTGGAGACGCTAGCATATGGGAAAGCCAGTAGCGAGCCGTGTACTCCAGCAAAGTATATGCGTCTAGATAACGATCCCGAGCAGTGACGCGAAGCTTATCCCAAGAAACCGCAGTCTCATCAGTGAGCGACTTGCGAACCCAAGCCAATGAGCGAATCAATAGATCATAGTGGGCTTCAGATAGCGAGAAGGGCACTTCTTGGCCCATCAGCGCCCGAGCTTGTATGTGGTCACGAATCAGGTGATGCTTGAAAGTAACAAAACCGTCACGGACGGAGATCAACCGAGCTAGAGGTTGGAAGACTTCACGTTCAGTATTAGATGGGCGGGATGAAACCTTCAGAGTCTTCAAATCCACCGCCAATAGTTGCTCTATCTCCTGGATACGTAAAGGACGCTCTGCAGCCAGGAGCCAGGCAAGGAGACTCTGGGTTCCTACACGGTTGAGGTCAATGCTGCGTATATGTCGATCAATCACATCACCCAAAGTATGCGGGGAGGTCTTTACTGCAGATTGCATTTCATTAAAAGTTGCTAGGTGTCGAATGGCCTCAACGGTGAGCTGAGCCCACACAAAACATCCCTGCGCCCGAGGAACTATGGCCGCTGCCAACGAATCTCGCTGCGATGCATCAAGACCAGAGAATGCAGCATCGGATGTCATCGTATCAACTAAAGCTGTATGGAGGTCATGCTGTGTCAACGAGACATTCATAGAAATATGTTGAGTCGTTGATGCCTCCCGCATGGGCATCTGTGTAGCAGCGAGCGGTCGGCTGAAGACAATGAGCTTGGACGGCGTATTGCGCTCAGAGATAGCATCTTGAAGGCGTTTCAAGAAGGGGCCAACAGCTACTTCCGGATGTTTGATCTGGTCAATGCCATCTACCACTAGCATGAAATGCATGTTTGACTGTAACGCTATATGAATAGCAGTCCATAGCTGGTCCTCCACCCGCGGGTCTGGCGCTCCAGTCACAGCGAGCTCCAGAGCATTCATAACGCCGGAGAGAATAGACTCATGGGTCTTTCGGCTAGTGACACAGCGATCGAGAATCTGAGTTAGGAGACCCTTAAGGATGCTTAACGGCAATGTTGTAATGGGTACATCTGATCTGATTGAGATGGGAATGACGTTCCAGATATCAAATTCCGAAGATACCTGCAACTTTTCCATTGTCCACTGGGCCAATGCACTCTTTCCTGAGCCAGGATTGCCAGTAACCAGCAGCATATTACGCCTGTTGATAGTAAACGTAGTCAAATGTGGATCAAACCATGCAAATGAGCCATCAGACAACGAATGATTATGGCCTTCTAGCAACATATGCAGGGGTCGATCTTGTAGCTCGAGGAATTGGTAAATGGCAGCGAGGTCTAAGGGAGTCTGCTGTTTAGGTGCCCCGGTAGCCAAAGCGACTTGCGACATCCGGCGCCAGTGAGTGGTAAATCGGTTGAAGTAGCAAAAGAATGAGCTATTCACCGCCTCACTCATGGATTGCCAGTGCTGTGAGCGCTCTGCTTCGCGGTATTCCATGGTGACATGCATGACAAGTTGAAGCACATGGGCGTAGATTTCTGCGACCTCTCGCTGCAGGGCTCGGTAGGTCTGAAAGTAGCTTTCCTGCTGAAGAAGCAATGAAATTCCCAGTGTCACCCTGCCATACTGTCCGAATAGACTATCGAGGATGTCGATGTGCTCAATGCCCAGCTACAATGGTCAGCCACTCTTACAGCAAATAGAGTAAAATTTCTCCCTTTACGACTTACTTCGAGTTGTAACAAAATAGCTCCCCAAATCATCATGGCTGCCTCGTCTGCTCCGTCCATAAAGCCGGCCACGGAGTCTCTCAATGAGCCTACCGCAAAGGCTAAACGAGAAGCTCGGTGGAGAGCGCCATCTAACCTACTGCCATCTGGTGGCATACGTCGTAGTCTTTCTGCGGCAATGGCATCAAAGAATACGTCGACGGTTGGAGATTTTGTCAGAATCTCATTTGGAGACATTCCTAACCGTGCCGGACACTCCTTGGAGACATATTCGAGTGTCTCCCGAAGGAGTGGCTGCGAGTTAGAGTCCCCATTTTCAGCAGTGTTCTCCGCCACGGATGAGGAAGACATGCTGTGCAATTAGTTTACTCAATGATGGAGTGCATTAATTAGACATCGAGTACATGCACATGTACCGTTAAGAGATGATTTTTTGAAACTGCGATATCGTCCGTGACAGCCCTTGTTAAGGGTAGGCCCTTTGTCTCCGGTACTTCATGCAATACTGACATCATGAGAGCGATTTCCCCAGTAATATATTCCAAGGCTCATCATCGATCCCCGATTGCGATAAGGACCGTGGTTCGCAGAAGTTAATTGAGCGAAAGATCAATACTGATTGTTGGATGCTCAAGGGAAGAGCAAGGGCTCAAGGAGAACCACATGGATTTGGCGTAGTGTGGTGTCATAAGAAATCATCGCAGTCAGTTACTAGTGGTCAATGTTTGGTTCAATGCGTCATGGCCAATGTTTTGAGGGGTTGTAGGCGTTGATGTCGATGACATCACAGGCTTCGGGTTGGCCGTCGGAACATGTGACATCCGGCCTAGAAGGAATCAGTAAAGTACTAGAATTGGCCGAAATAACAGACATAGTTTGTCCATTGTGCTCTGATAAATTCGTGATGACTTGCCTTGGAGTGTGGTATTGTCTGGCCTTGGGGAGTGATGTATGCAACCACCAATCCATTGCCACTAGTACTAAGTAGTACTAGTAGTAGTACAAAGTTGAATTGGGGTTACCATACCGGATGCCGGCTATATGTTTCATTGGTCAGCAAACTTTATGACGTTATAGCTAATCCAATCAGTAATCGTACTACAAAGGCGGTAGGTATGGATCGTTCACACATAGGCATTAGCTGTATCTAGCGGATCTATAGTTTTTCGCTCATGCACCTTGAAAGAAGATACCTTTGAGACTGTCAACGAAGATGTCGGATGAAACGGTCATTGTGAGCCATCCCGGTACAACAACTGGAAACCGGCATATGTAGAGCTTCAACTGTCGTACAATTTGCGAGACACACCCATATATGTCCTAATAATAAGACTGTAAACACTGTATTCAATTCCCTCCCAGCTTGCTTCGGATGGTGGGAGGTCAACTTGTATGAATCTTATGATACTGCCCAATTAACCCCTCGAAGGGGGCGGAGAAAACATTTTGGATTTATACAATCCCACAAGGGAAATTCATACCCAACGATCCTCAGAAACTACATAGCGCGATGGATCAAATCGCTCGGTTTGTCGTATCAAAGACAAGGCCGGTATCGATAGACGAAATTCAAAGGTTCATGTGAGGCTACACGAGTGGACAAGGGCATTGAGTCCACTGAAAGGAAATGGCCAAATTTACGTGGATGAACTCCATCGAATTCTACTCGTTCGATAACTAACGTCATAGAGCTCGGACTAGCCTCACTAAGCACTTTGCTCTGGGCAAGCCAGGCCAGAGAGAGAAGAGCTCTCGGGCCATACTAAATCTCCAGCGGAAAGATAGTCGTGCTGATGATTACGTGCGATGTATGTCAGAATTTTCTTTCTCGGTCGCCGCTAGGCATTTTACAAGAGTACCTCCCGACGAATTGTTAACTGCAACATCTACCACGAGTTCTTGGGCAGTGCCCACATGTAGTAGTTAAACTGACTGAAGACCACCTGAAACTCGATAAAGGGTGCCAAATAGATGCAGGGAATGCCTCATCTGCTGCCGATCTGGAAGCAATCTGGAACAAATTTGGTATATTGCTAAGCCCTTCCATGCATGGACGTATCCCACGTACTGAGTTGCATATCTTGAGAACATTTCTTCTGCCAAACAGTTAACCTGGGCGGCCATCTGTGGAGTATCCAGTATGTTAAAGAGAGCGAGCAGGAGGACAACACATCCGATCAAAAAGGTGCTCTTGACCATACGGCACATGCGAGATTCAGAAGTCAATATGCGAACGACTCGTGTAGTTATTCCTATCACGAGCAGAATTCACCTCTCGAGGGCAACAGTTCTGCAGCGAAGGGTCTCATTTATCTGGAACGCGCTTGGAGGAAACATCGCCAAGCATATACAGTACGTGGGACGGTTCACGAATCATCTCTGTATAGTTCATGCGTTGCTGACCAGATGTATCCAGTCCAGCGGTATGGGTGGACACTGTGAAGAAGTCCTCCCTTTGTGAGTTGCAGATGTAAGTACTACTGTAAACCTATATTAACCGGTTTATTGTTCACCTCTAAGTTTAGACAACTCACATAAACCAAGTCTTTTATTAAGACACCCAAGCCATCACTATGACAACATCCCATCAATAGGTAGCCAAACGGCCCCAGGTCTGCACAATGTAGAATTCTAAGACCAAACACACGCTACGTCCATCAGTCAGACACATCACAATCAAAGACCAGCCTAGACTCATGCGAGTCAAAATTTACACCTTTCAGCTATACCCAATCCCTATGCAAAGTTCCGGAAACGATTTCCTATTGAACCTCACCTGACCAAGGAATGAGTAAACAAAAGGAACTAGAAGCCGACAGCAATGTCCAAGTATAACCTTTCTCCACGGTTGTAACCAAGGTTGCCAAGCATACTCAACCGTAGGTGCTTACGGGAATAAGTATATATACCAATCAATTCCGTGGTTGAAATGTACTAGAGCTAAGATATGAGACAACGATTTACTGTCAGTATGCTTGTATGGGATGCTGAGAACACCCAAACAGACGAATCATGATGAAATTGATTGAAAATTTAAAACTTCCCTTGGCCAAACTATCGGCAGGGTAGTTAAGACCCGTATATCGTGAATCTCTCACAAATGAATGGATTAGAACAACGAAATGGTGGCGTACGGTAATCACACGGCTTATCATGTTGGGAAGCGCTTACTGATGCGTCAACATTACTCAACAGCCATATTTGGACATTGGTAGCTTATATCGTATCTACAGGAAGTGGGACCGTCCGTGAGTCTCTTACTCTCTAAGAGGGTGTTGCAATCAACTAGGCAGGTCTTATCACTATTCACAATCTTCAGACTCCCTGATATCTATAAATTACTCGATTAATCGAACACGCAATTTTTTGTACCAAATCAAGTCACCAGTTTTTGCCCCAATGATGCAACTACGCTATCGGTATGCAATCTCTTTCATCTTCCGGTTTAGCGGAAGCCCTGGCGTGGTATATCTACGAAGCACTAATATTAGAGCCAACAGTATTAACTCCGAGTACTATGCCCCCTTGAACTACCCCCGAACCCTGGATGAAGCCAAGGAGCGTCTCCGCGTACAAGCAGAACACACCGCCCAGTATGCCAGTGCTCTGGCGGAAGACTTCCAGCGCAAAGCCGAGCAGTTTGAAATGTCCGGTTTATCGAACGAGGAATTCGAGGAAGAAATTGACAAGATGGGTCAAGAAGCAAGGGAGGACATCAATAGACATATAGAAGAAACCACTAAATATCTGAAGGCTTTCATGAGGCACATCTCTAGGACAGAAATGGGAGAGGCAAGAAGGCGGCTGTTGATGGATTGTGCCAAAGAGGCTTTTCATGCCGCGTGGAAAGCTCTCGACTGCTTCCTCTTGATCTGTGTGGAGATTCAACAGAGACTATTGGGGGTTGTAGAAGAATCACAATGGGTGGCTCAGGCAACTAGATGGTCGGTTAGGCGCGCTCTCTCTCATATACGGCAGGTCCTCCAGGAGGATGTTCACTCGATATATGGTTGGTGATGGCCAGTTAGATGTTCTGAAGTTTAGTGGAGTCGGGACACGTTTACGGTGTCAGCTTTAGGTACTACTGCTGGAATTTGCACGAAATTTTATTATTTTAGGAGGTGGACAAAAGACTGCCAGCAGTGTTTCTTCCCTAGATAAGCTTCTATCTCAATGGGCTTTCTTTTCCCAACCCAGCGTAGAGATAACATCAGTCGCAATGTAGCAATAAAAACCCCTCCACTCCAACTGAGACATTCATTATACTTTTACGAACACCCTAAATTAGCGCCTTCCATGAAAAGCTACCCCTATACTGTGGGCGAGGCTAATATTACGATTACTATGAGAGTCTATCAATCACTTTCTTGCATGGTTTCGAGGGGCATATGACGGGCCTGTGCACGTATAATGGACATGGAGATAATTCCCACAAAGGAGCCGCATTCTTTGTTCTTTGGTTGAAGTTTCAAAGACAACGTGGATGCCTCGGCGTGGGGCGTTTGTTACCCACTTGATATATCGATCGAGATTTCAAGCGACCCCATTCGTCGGCTTTTCTTAGTTGAGATTTACTTTCATCTGCCTTTTCGATATTGTTGACATTTATAGCACGCGCCACTCTAGGCTTCCACATAAGCTACTAGGTCCACGGCAGTGGGAGTACGAACACTAGCAATGGATCGTTTCTGCCAAGTAATCACGCAATCATGGATATCAATTTCATGTCAAGCAGGACGCTGATCAATTGAAAACTACTAGTAGCAACTTTATGCGTGAATCCAGCGCCAAGCTGCTAGTTCCATCCAAAAAAATGCTTAGCATGCAATCGGGTTATAAATTCCAGCTGAAAAGCTGCAACACACGCCTCCGTGTGGATAACTTTTAACAAGAAGCTTTCAGCATGTACAATAGACATCCAAATAAAGACAAAGATTGCGGCATATATCGTAACGAGATGGAGACAACGAAACCAGAAAGGGGTATTTATATACAAAAACTACCAGAAGTACGGGTTTCCATAAACATCTGCATAACACTGCAGTGAATCGGGGCAGCTGAAAAGAATGAGTTAGCATAATGTCATCACTACCATGATCTCGATATACTTACTACACCGGATCCTTCCCGAAAATGATGTGCCAAGAATACTCCATCACCCGCGAGGTGACATCGTCTGGCAAGTCATTGGTCAGAACCCAATTATAGTACTGCATATATTCTTCGAAAGAACGCTTCAAAACCTGGTCGCGTGACACGGCGAACTGCGAGCAGCACGGCGCACCAATGACTTCTGGAACTTCGGTATTGTTAAACAGCTCCTTCCAGGCCTGCGCGTAGACCGCCTCGGTCGTTTGTCCGGGGCGCGGAGGGTTCCGTAAGGGCCTGAGCTCTTCGGGGCAGCCAGGTGTTTCCTGGCATCGGAGATTGGCGTAGCCGCTCTGCTGAATAAAGTCGGCTTGGAGGTTGCGGATCGCCACGACGTTGCTGTACTCCATGTTATCGGTGTGCCAGGCAGCCGGCCAGCCGTCTTTATGGCTATGGATGAACACGATGAGCGATGGGAGATCGTGGTAATGTTCGATGATGTAATGGAGGTATGCCAGACTTTCGCGTCCCTTATTGATGGGGGTATGCCGCGTAGCGCTCAAATCATCAACGGTGTAGATCACATTCCGCCATCTGACCTGTCAGAAAACCGCATCCAGGAATGCGACGGACCGAACTCACTCATTTAAATCATTAGCGACCCATGACGTATCCTCCGAAGCCAACTTCGCCATCACAAGCGCTCGGTCATTGGGGACGATGATCGGGGTGGTCTCGTAATTCTGCGGGGAGATCACATCCGATTCCATGGCTGTTTTGTCTACCTGGTCACCCTGATTGCCGTTGTCGGAACCCGCGGAACTACCCCCGAAGCGCCAGAAGGATGATAGCGGCACACGCGAATCATCCTGAACGGTGTCGAGATGGCGCTTGATCAGGAAGATGGCGAGGATCAGGAGTGCGGCCGTACCAACACGGATGGATAGTCTCATTTCATAATATTAGTTGTCGACCCGGTTGAACAATTTGTAGATATGCAGATTCCCGCGGGATCGAAGGGAGGGGGGAAGGAAATGCGGCGCTGTCGGTGGTAATTAAAGGGGGGGAGCTGTTAAGCGGCGTGTTACATGAACGACTAAGTCAAACCCCGGCGACGAGCGTAGGTCGTGCAAAGAGAGGGGAAACAAAAGAAGAATAAAGAGTCCCCAGATTCTAAGCCAAAAATGAAGGGATTGGAAGACAGCGGCGATTATGAGGCCATAGGATGGATAAAGAATGCGTCGGAAACTTGATACGAGAGACAAGTGAAGAAGAGGGGAACAAAAGATACAAAGAAAGAAAGGAAAAGAAAAGAAGACGGGGAAAATTAAAAAATAAAAAAGAATGAGGCAGAAAAATGTGAACCATAGGAATGGCCACGATGCCCTCCCTGAGCAGTGCGAACAGAAAAAAAAAATGCTTATCACTGAGAGGCGTTGACACGCGGATTGGTGGGAATGGAAGGGGCGAGACACAGCTGATCTGCAGGGGCCATCAAGACCTCTTGTTGCGTACGCTTGAAACGAGTTCCATGTTCCCAGTAGATTGGCTGAGATGACCAAGGACTAATTCGACAACGACAATTGTTCTACAAAAGCCGAGTCTTCCTTATGGAGCATCACTTAATCTTGATTTCCTTGCCATTGATTGATTAAATCTCCTAAACACAGCGACACAATTGACTTGTGTTGTCAATCTTCGAAAATTAGGGGGTTAGTCAGCCTCCCAGCCAACCATGGCTAATAATGGGCTAAGATAACCATACCCAACTACCGACGCATAATTCGTCCACCTCGCTTCGTGGCCAAAAGGCTTGATCGTCAACGCCGGCCAAATACAACTCCGTCGGCCTCCGGATGTCACACATCTTGTCCCTCTGTCTCTATATATCATCTGGGCAGAGACGATGTACCCTCTTCAGAACTCAATACAGGGCCCCCGACTGTCGTCCTTCTCCTTCGGTCAACAAAACCCGAAGATCCCGTCTTACAATGATCTAATATGGTTACGATCCACAGTGGAGGAGTCTATCTCTAACGGCCCACCAAGCCTTCTAGTTTGACTGGTTGAATGGTCCGTGGCAGTGGCTCCCGTAGCGCCATCATTTTATTCTTTCAATTTTCCATCTCGCGATTCAAGACTGGAATATACTTCAATAACCACACCCTATATTAACCTTGATGGAAGTCGCACACGCCGGGATTACGTGAACAATCCACCCAGAACGTGGTAATTTCATCACGAAACTCCCAGGCCGATCGTTGAGCTCATAAATATCCGAGAGAGCCCCTAAGGGACCAAGGGTCTACGGAGTCGGGTTGTGCGTCCATGGCCCGGTGATCGACATGTGAAGTCCCTTTTACATCCAGGGTCAGGTTTAAAACTAACCACTTCGGACCATCCTCCTTGTCTGAATGAAGTAAACAATTCTCGGCGAAATCGTGGCCCGCCAGGTGATGACGACGACGCTGGAGACATGCAATTGAGACATGACTTTTGCGTTTTATTGTACTCCATAGCCGATATCGAGTTACCCACGGAGCATTTACCTGAAAATGCGGGGCTGAAACGTCGGTTTCTCTTGCCCGCTTTCTTAATCTATTTTTTCCGGGTTGCTGTGAGGCTCGGTCGTATATCGGGTTTCCCCTGCATTGTTCAGCATCTATATGCTCCCTTCTTGGTCCGACCGGCCCCATCTACAAGTTACCATAACTGTACATTCAAGCAAAGAAGGAAAAAGGAAAACAGAGAGTTTTTTCCAGCCCCAAGGTTATTACCTAAAAACTCACGAAAATATCGCGCAGCGGAGTCGATATCAAAAAGCGGATAGATCAAGCACGGAGACGTAAGGGCACAACTTTCAACGGATAAGTAGAGAACTCTATATTATACTTTTTATTTTTTATTTTTTGGGCGGACGAACGGCGGAGGAATGCAGGTGGCGTTTGCTTACTTTGTTTTGCCTGGGGAGGGAAAAAAAAATAATTAAAAAATAAAATGCCAACCCAAACCCATCAGTCCCTACAAAAAGATGATAGATCTATATATTCCATACAATCAAGGGGCACTACATACCGCTCTACTCAAGGTAAATTTTGTGTAATAAAACATCAATCTGAAAACAAGTAATTGTAATTTTGAGTACATAGTATCAGTCAATGCATTATCCATCGAATTGCAGCAAGCAGGCAGGAAAGAATGTGTATATATGGATCGTAGAACCACGGCTTGGTCACATGCCTATCTTATAGTTATGTTCTGGTGCATACCGATAGACAACCCGTTAGCATTCCCCTGTATTATGATATCATTTTTAGCAAGATTGCTGCAGAAGTGTTGATGCATGGTTGAATGACAGGGAGTGGCGGGTGGGTTTAATATCAGGCCAGGCGTTCCTGGTGACTATATCAACGGTCCAATCGGGTTGTTTTGGAATTCTTCAGGCGAGAATTCCTCGGCGACAGACGTCACGTTTATACTCCGAGACGCTTGCAATGCCTTTCCATTGCTTCGCAGTTTAGATGAAGTCAGCTGTGAATGTGAGTGGTAGGGAGTTGTATCATATAGTACTCTGGTTCTTTTCGTCTGTCAAGTTCTAACTTCAGGGTGCGCGTCTATTGAGTAGTATATTTGGGTATGTTCTCGGACCCTTTGCTGTTTAGAAACTGTAACTTGACTGGGGGAAAAGTGTTATATTCAATGTCTAGGTAAGGATTATGTGGCATACGCTGGTGTCAACATGCTTATAGTCATGTAAACTTCGAGTCATTTTCACTCTCATATTCACCCTCGGAAATATGAACATCAAAACCATGCTTTAAACATACCCAGGCGCCTGCGCCTTCGCCTTGCACACATAAATCATCTTGCCTCGTATAGGAACGTCAACTCACAGAACGATATCAACTTTCCTCACAAAAGGCTAACAG